TCTTAAATGCACTGTCAATACAATATGTACTGATTTCCAAATTGTATAAAAAAATAAAATAATTATTCAATATTTTAAATATACTTAGACTCATAGTGAGTAAAAATGGAAACTTTAATTATTTCTTTTTGTGCACTATATAAATTGTATTTATAATTATTTTTATTTATTTTTATTTATTGTATTTATATTATTCCATTACTTTGACTGTGACAATTTTTTTTAATTCCTGTTTGTATGGAGGACATTGTCTTGTTCACCTTATGAAGCTTGACTGATTTTAGAACAAGTAAAAGTACTGCAGTTGAAATGTAATTCTTTCTTTAACCAGAAGCCTATTCATGTCATTAAGGATGGGTTTAATGTGTCGTCAATGGGAGGTAAAAGAACAAACTTGGATAGCAATATTTTGAAGTTATAATTGATAAAAATATAAATGAAAATAAATAAAACTTAATAAAGCTAAAGGAAATTCTTGGATAATCATTTTTTTTTTTTTTTACCATTTTTTATTTTATTGATTTATTCTTTGTATCTTTTATTGTGATCAATTAAAAATACAATTGCAACTAAATACTGAATTATTGTATTTGTGTTGCAATATAATATACAACATACATCAAACATAATAAAAATAAAAGTATGGCATAATATTTAAATTTCATATTTAAAACATCAATACTTTATTAAGGGACTAAAAAATAATTGTTGAATATTCATTTGTGCTGTTATTCTTACTTGGTTAAATATTTCTGAAGTACTTTTTACATTTCAATGGTAAATCAGGGTTCAAATCAGACTTCAATTTGCCTACCATAATGATTTTTTTTATGGAAAAACCAGATTGAATATATGAATGATAACAATATGAAACCACAAAAACTTGCTCTAATAGTCAGCTATGCTGCTTCTGACTACTATTGTTTTTACATTTTATATTTTTAAAAGTCTCATTATTAATAGTACAGCGAGGCAATATATTAATACAGTGATCATAACTATAATTGTTATTCTTGTTCTTGCAGTTGTGTTTTGAATCCAAACATTGATACGCTTTGACTCATTCACTGCTCGTGTGTATCGAGAAGTTCATATCACTAAAAGCGTGATTCATAACCATCATGCTCCCATTTCCTCAAGACATTTTCCCCTGCAGGTAAGATTCTTGATGGATCCGTTTGTCATCACCATCAAGGTGTTTTGCAATAACCGCTCTTGAATTATTTCAAATCAAAACAATATTGATTTAATTCTTTCCAAGTATATAATCCTATAGTAATATCTTAATGAGGGAAAGACAATTGCGAGGGATTACATTTGCAGCGACAAACAATAAAAATTCTACATCGTAAAACCACTAGATGATAAATTAACGCACATTTTAACTAAGACAACGTCATAAAGGATCCTTTGTATCACAAATAAGACTGTAGCACTTACACAAACAAAGATCACATCCACCAAGACGTCACATTTCTCTGCGACGAATGTATTTCTGTTTAATGTTGTTGAGATCTCACGTAAGAGAATGTCATAACAATAATAAAGTGGGATTTTTTTAAAGATAAAGTTTAGATTCCATTTAGCTTTGATATGTTAAGTAGGAAGATATTAACCAGACAGGCAATTAGGTTGATTTGCGTTGTCCCGTTGACGAATAACAAAATAAGCATGTCTTTGATGTGTGCGATTACAATACTAAAAAGACTCACTGACTTTAAGACTGCACTTGCAAGAAAGACCTTGGGCCAAAATTCTAAATTGCAACAATCGTTTGACGTAGCATTGCAGAGTGCCGATCACCACAGGCTCATGTACGGAACATTTACCTCCGGAGCCTTAACAAAGACTAATTGAATTCAACGAGTGGTAATGATTTGTTTTCAAGGATGGATTTCATTCTCACATTGTTATCATTAAAATTCAGCTTTATCTTACATCTCTTGTCTGGAAAATTCATATTGTTATTCTTTCTGTTATTTTAAAAACAATAACTGATTGTTTTTGTCTACAGCGAAAATTTATGATAAAGCCAAGAGCAGAAATGTATAGGATATTTACAGTGAAAATACAGATAAGATATGCAACCTTCAGATCGGATAAAGCTAGGCAGGAGAGGAATGTGAGTGCAGGGGATATTTCTGCTACTCCACAGTTTAAATGTTAAATATTAAATCTTTCAGAATAGAGATGGCTGGATGAAGGATATATTTACTTTGGCCTTTCAATACATAAAAAGCAATAGTTCAATACAATAACATGCAAAATAAATAAAAAGAATAAATTAAACCTGATATAAAGTAATAGTAGGCCTAAGCAAACACTAATAAATTATATAGGGAGTAACCCATATAGCTGCATTGGTTTCTTTTAAGTAGTTGCTTTTTTCAAAGAATTGTCTACACATTAATTTTAAAAAACAAGATAAGATAGATAAGATAAGATAAACTTTATTGTTCATCAAATTGTAGAAATTCATGGTCCATTTGGCATAAAAATACAAGAACATCAATTAAATTACATCACAATTTAAATTGCACTACAAAAATGCATATGTGTGTGTGTGTATATACACATCTAGATGTGTATAAGAGACAGGGTTGGCACAGTGATTGATTTCATAGTTTGTGGTGAGAGGTGCGTTGAATTTATTGGTCTTGCGCCATTTGGCAGTACTAGGTATAATTCCCCAGAGAAAAGAGACGACTGCCCTTTTATGCCTGTTTGCTATCAACCTGGGGAGACTCGACTTGTATAAGGCGCCATATAAATCAAAACACTATTAAAAATATATTTGTTAAGGGACTTTGGTATGTTTAGTGAGCTATAAAATCTTAATCTTATAAAATCTTAATCTTATGTTATCATTTATCATTTCATTTCCTGTTTGCAGTGCAATGTCCCAAATTCTCTCTGAAAAAATTACTAAGGAATTTTCATTTTCAGGCGAGTTTCACATATTATTCCCAAATCCAAACATATTTAAAATCGATTTTATTCCACTTCTATTATATTAATATCATATTAATATTACTATACTGCTAAAATTTAATATTAAATGTAGTACTTGAAATAAATAAGATGAAGTAAGGTAATAATACCAGATTGACCAAATGTTTTGTAATTGGATACCCAGTGGATATCCACAGGGGAGAGCCCAACTTTCCTCGCTCAACTCCACCCCACCCCCCCCCCAATGTCAGTACTATGGTCATCTGTATTAAAGCATGGAGTAATTCCACCATGACTAAACTAAAATGTTTCCTCTATAAAGATAAAGAATGATGCTCCCCATTTAAAAAATGTACGTACTGCCCTCAGTTGCTTCATTTCAATATTGCAGTCATCAAAAACAATTTGGAAATTATAAACAAATAATTAATATTGGTAGACAAATCCAATGAGAATTTTTTACCTATCATCTCCAATTATGGGTAAAACAGAAAAAATAAATAAATGACATTACTCGGAATATGTGGTGAGTAATGATTGCATAACCGCTGGTTGCACGTTTTTAAAAAGTGTTAACCAATTATAGCTACCGGATTAATGTAGGACTAGCTTAATCTTTTCCAGTGGGAAGAATTAATTAGAAATAAATGGAATTATTTGTATTCCAAATCATTTTTATAGTTTAATTGAATTTCAATCTCTATGAATATCAGTTTTGTAAATGAAACTCAAAGATATGACTCCCATTCAAATTTACAATTAGTGTATAGGACATTGACAATTCCAGATGGGGACAGGCTTTAGCAGCAGGGAGAGCTTTCCAGTAGTAGTAGTAAAACTTTATTTATTCACAAAGAAAAAATCAACAAATAAATGCTGTTTTTCATCATGGCCATGAGAAACCTTACAATTACTTCTTAAAATCCGCTCCAGAAAAAAATATCCAAAAAAAAAGGCAAAAATAAATAAATTAAAACAAAGCAAGAAAACCAATAAATACAGCAACAGTTGCAGAGAAGACGGGTTTGAGTGGGCAGTTCTAAAGCAGACAAGTGTCTCCTTTTTTTATTGTCTTTTAAATTTTTTTATTTTTTGTTATAATCTGTGGGACCTTGAGACTGTTGTAAACATTAATGGGAAATGATGAAATGTAATTTATTTGTTGATAAAATCATTCTAAAAATGTCATATTTATATATTCCTATAAAATAAATCTTCCAAAATTTATTTATTTATTTATTAAACTTTCTTTATACTGGATGGCACGCTCAATGTAAAGGCACTGGTTTTCGTTGTGATCCAGTTAAAAACATAAAAATACAAAAGAGATATCCACACCCTACTCCGGATCATCACCAAACTTTTATCACCTCATCCCCAAACTTTTATCACCTCATCCTTGGTTCATATTCTATTCTGGATAGTTTTAGAGATATTTAGGTCTGGGACCGTAGCACTTTAGGGGTGGATCCAGAATTTTTCAGGTGGGCACAACAATTTCAGAATACCGGTAGGTAAGTGAGTAGCACATAACATTGATTTGCATTGAAATTTTTAAAATTTAGTGGCAAACCAGGGGGGACGTGCCCCCCTACTGGATCCACCCCTGCACTTTAAAATGACCCTCAGATTAGTTGATTGGGTTTTGAAATATCTGGTCTGGGATGTTTTCCTTTGAAAACAATGTTTTACATTCTTCCCTAACTTCTTATAATACTGGCATATTAATTTATATTATATTTAAGTCTCTTGATGTAGCTTGTTTGTCATTGTACATTTTCAAGTAAATAATTTTTCTGTCAGTCCAGTGGGTGGTACCACCAGGCCTACAGGATAAATTTATAATTTTAGTTAGATGAGACTTCTTAATACCTTGTTATTAGCAAAAAGCATTATTTTTGGAGCTTTCAGGAAAGTGGAGGTCATAGTGAAAATTTCCATTTTTTTTTTGGTGGTTGGTGGTTGGAGGGTTCTGTAAACAAGGTGTAACAATGTCTCGCTTAGGGAGGCTTGATTTCTGCAAAAATAAGACATTTGTTATAGACATATGCTTTTTAATCACAAATTTTATTCCCTCAAAAATATGGATTATTTACATAATTCAATCATGACTCCTTTGTTAATTACATCTAAGATAATTTTAAAAGAGGAAAGTTCCTTATGACATATGAATTGCATTATATAATAGTACAAACTCTGAATGGTTTGTCTTTTTATACCATTCAAAGATGAGGTCTATTCAAATACTTGACATCGGAATAAGCAAACGTAACATAACATAACGTCATAAAATGATATCAGGCCATTATTCGGGGGAATTTCTTCTTGAATTCAAAACAATTTTTCACAGCTTTCTGCATATGATGTAGGTCCTACAAATACTCCAGACAAAAAGTTCAGTATTTGTCCATGCTTTTCCAGTTCTTCTTCTTTCTTTCTTTTATTAATATTTTAAGAGGAAATGTCCCACTCATCAAAGCTGATTTTCAGGGGAGTCCTCATCACAACAGACAAATTACAAAAGAGACAAAAAGCAGAGCAAACTGCAAAAATAGCACATTCATAGAGAAAAAAGAAACGTCAAATGTTTTTATAGGGTGTGATATGGGCGTTCGATACCCTTTTCATCTTAAAACCCTGCAAGAAAAAAGGTATTGCATAACATTCGAAATTTTCTATATAAAAATGCAAGCACTTTCAAATAATGTTATTTATTTAATAATTTTAATGTATTTAATTGGCAATAATTTAATTAAAGTACAAATACAGAAAGAACACTGAGTTTTTTGCTGGTAAAACTATTACGTTTATACACAATAAATTTGGTGATTAATTAAATAATTATTTAATTAATTACATTTGAGGAAATGTATCATTCCATCATAAGAGTATTCTTTCATGTGGCTGTGAACAACACAAAAGCAATACAAATTTTTGAAATTCCAACCTAATTTAACAAACAAATAAAGATACAGTAGATTTATAACAAAAATAATTTAAAAAAACAAAAGCAATGTTTCCCTTTAAACAGGAAGCATATTTCGCAATGAGCCATCTCAATATCCCCTGAGACGCCCTCTTGTGTTTGTCCTTCAGCAATCTTATTTCCAATAATTATACCTCTGATGGTTGCGAATGATCAGATCATCTTCTTGCATTTGCTTAATTAGATCAGGTAGACGTTGCCTGTTAAACATTACAGCCGTGGCATATACGGTAGCGTAATGGTAGATTTTTGCAAAGTAGCATTAAGATGCATGTATGTACCACTTCATTATTTGGTCAGCTTTAATAGGAAATTATAATTGTTAAAGAGTACGAGCAGTTAAATATATCCACAACACACAAGTCAGCTCCATGTTTATATTTACTGTATTTATTATCAATGTTATAATAAATATGCGCCAAGTCGGGTGACTTAAGGGGAGTATCTTTTGTGTTATTTTCCCCTTAACATCATTTTTTTTTTAATTGTTCTGTAATTTCTCCATTGTTTAATTTCCCCTTAAGGTAGGTTTTAGTAACATAACCATTTTATTATTATCATTTATATTATTATATTTATAATAATTATTACTTATATTATTACTATAATTTTAATGATTATTGTTATTATTTTATTGTTATTATTATAAATATTATCATCATTAATGTTGTTACTTACTTGTTACTCGTTTTTTTCTCCGTCCCTTATCCCATGCAAGACATCTGGCTGTTGTTGACCGATTTTATATCAATGCAAATATAGAAATCATACTGAAAAACAGATAGAAGGGGGATAGAAGGGGGTGAATTTTAATTGACAAGAACATACATGACATGCCTAAATATGGGCACATTATGACTATATGGGCATACAACAGTTTTTTGGCAAAGAAAATAAATTTGATAATCTGGACCTGCTTTATGAAATCTAATGTACAAATAAAAAAGTTTTTTGGAGCTACAATCATCAAATATCAATAATTTTTGGATATTGTCAGTTATTATGGTAATAAGTGTTTAAAGCAGATTTCTGGCTGCTGTTATCAAACTTTCTGACGATTTGGGATGTAAAAAAAATGTTTAAACAAATATGAATAGATGTAGGCATACATAGGACATGATATATTTTCTCAGTCAATGTAATTAAATCTATATTAATAGGTCCTTATTGACTCATTTATATGATTGTGTAGATTTAAGTGTGTTGGGGAGAAACTTTTGAGGACTGGTCGGAAGTTTTCTATTACGTTAGTGTTTTATGCTTCCGTGCATCTTCCATCAATTTTTATTTGCATAATCTAGTTAAAAACACACTTCTGGTTTGCTCTATTTTGAAATTGGTTTGAGACAGGAAGATGGTGCAATTAACAAACCACCTTGATTTATGACGCATTGGTTGAGTGCCTGCCTCTCATGCATGGTAAATAGGTTCAAACCTAAAATAAATTCCATCTCAGCTGGTTTGTGGCTAGGACAGTCATTAATTCATGTTCCTTTGGGAAATTATGAATTCATTCAGCATAGTGTACTATCTTTATACAAACTGTATCTGTAAGACCAGTCATTATGGCATCCTTAAATAACTGAAAAGAATTAAAGGTCTCGGTGTGCAGACATATCTGATTGGATTTATTTCTACAGTGCTTCGCTTTTGGGTACCATCAAGAATATCCAGCTGGTTGTTATATAATGTAAGAACAGCCTGATCATGTCTGGGGAATTTCCCAACAAATACAAAATCTAGTGGAACTGTGCCCAACCAAATGGTTTGTGGAAAAATAAGTAAACATTATTAATATACTTTAATAAATAAGAAATGGAATCACTTTATATGGAAAAATGTTGAAATGTATCTACATAGAATACAGTTATTGTTTGCAGTCTTGTTTTTTTTTTGGTAAACATGGTTCTGACTGACCTTAGCCAGAATTTTCAAACAGTGTGGGACAATATCAGGGTGGACCCACTTTACACGTAAATTCAAACAATGTGGACCCATTTTACGCAAAAATATGAAAAATCGGGACCCATTTTCTTAAATTTTACTCGTTATAAATTTTACCTAAATATGAGAAAACTGCACCCATTTTTCAAAAAGTGGACACATTTTATGCAAAAAATTACATAATTTGGACCCATCTTTAAAAATGTGGACCTATTCTTTGTGGACCCGTTAGAAAAATTGTGTGGGACTATCCCAATACTGGTTACGGCATTGGTTCAGTTGGTGAGTAGGCCTATATTTCTATGAAAGGGATACCACACAATTATGTATGTTCAGATTTAGGTTCAATTAGTAAGTAGCGTATTTCTAAAACTAATAAATGTTACTTGCTTAAGTGTTGTGATACCAGAATGGACAGTCTCCATGCTGAGTGCTGTATGCGAATTAAGGTTTAGTAAGCAGATGCAATTTTCCAGGAGTTACTGTAGAAACAAAAAATAATATAATGAGACATCATCATTCTGTAATCTTATACCTGAACAAAATAGAGGTTTGGCAATTGTCTATTTTTTATGTATTATATTTTTAACTTCTAATAAAGGAACAATAACAACATTCCATAGCTTCATGCATAAACTCTTAAGTAGTAATTGAAACAAACCATAATAAAAAAAATTAAAATCATATCTTCATAACCTGAAAAGTACCGGTATTCTAGATACATTTGTTCAGCCATGGTAGGAATAATCATTTTTTCTATTTATGTCCCACCCACTGAATTTTTATTGTTTCACATTTGCAAATATGATATTTTTTAAATTCATCATTTTTCATATTCATTTTTAAATCAGAGTAGGCCTACTGTAGAATAATTATATTTTTCCTTTGATGTATCTGATTTAATGCCCTCGTGAAGCGCACCATATATACTGTCTCTTATACACATCTAGATGTGTATAAGAGACAGTATTATCATCATTAATGTTGTGAATAAATACAAAATAAAACGTTGACCAATTGAAAAACAAAGTAAAGCATCATACATTTGAGAATGGATTACTTGTTAGATTATGTATTGAGTCTGGTATTTAGACAGTTAGATAAATGCAGATCTAGTATTTCCCAATCAATCTGATTTTAATAACTTTGATTTATTGAAACACGGCAGTAGTTAATAACGTATGGTGTGATGTTTATGGTTAATGTTGCAATAATACGCAAAACCGCCACAATAATTTCAAGTGATTTAGATGTGTATAAGAGACAGATATATATCATCGTAAATCCATGTGTGTTATTGAAATTATATAAAAAAGGCGTTGAAACAAGAAATTATAACAACGATTCATGTGGACTATAGAGCACTTTTTTTAAAAGAAATATTTATATTAAAAAATTCCTTGATATGAAAGTGGATGTGGTATTTATTGTAAATTGTCCATTTGGTATTTATTTGTGATGAAGACTTTCTCTTTGAAGCCAATTCTTTTGAACCTGGTGTCCATCCATCTCTAAGTGGTTTTGTTTTATTTGAGATGTTTATCATCAGTCTTGTGTTTTAAGATCCCTGTAATGTTAGCACAATACTTTGTCGTGAAACCTTAGGTTTTGAAAAATGGGGTAAATTAATTATTGTGTTCAATGTGATCGTTAAAACCTCTTTAAAGTATGACAGGAACAAAATAATAAATTTGAAGACTCTACAGTTCATGGCTAAAGTCAGAGTAAAATTGTTTTACATTGCTAGTAATGGACTCTATTTTGACCTGAATATCATCATTTGCACATTGACGGCACGCAAAATAAAAATAGATGCACCATTAGCCATATATGGATTAGAGTTACAAGTAAATCAAACCAATTTTATGAGCGAAGATAATAAAAAAAAAAGCTAAAAAACAAAATTTAACAGACTCAATAATCGAGAATTAGTTACTGTGCATTTTCCGTAGGTGCTTTTGGATAATAAAGGATTTTGTATATTTTTAATTAAATTCTTAGAATTTTTGGCAAATTAAAGAATTAAGGAATACTCAACATTTTTGATTAATTAAATGATGGATTTGAAATACTAAAGTGGATTAGGTATTAGCAGCAAAATTAAAGTTGAAATTTTTATCAAATATTATAGATTTTTAACTATTATTCCACTATCACCTTGCTCTGTAAAAGCAAATCACTTGTTGAAAACCAATCTATGATTTTCTTTACTACTATAAAATATATAAATTGATGAGGCATCTAGACACTACACTGGGTGTTGTAATCAACATAAATGCTATATTGCAGTTTTACTACAGTCTATTACATTTCATAACATGCTGTAATGGAAATGCTAATAAAATATCTTGTGTACTAACAAATTGCATTGCAGGTTTATGACCGCTGGGTGTAAAGTTCGAATCCCTTCACAAGTCTAAAATTTCCGTAGCCTGCAGTAACCTGTCAGTGTATTATACAATTTCTAGAAAGTTGGCCTGAAGGGTTGAGTTATGATCTTAGCCTACAAGACAGTTCATTATTATTATTTCCTGGTGTATTTCCCATGTATAATACCATGTCAAAGTCAACATGATATTTTTTATGTTGTAGTCAGCCTATGAAATAAAGAAAACACTACTCAATAATTCTATCATAAATAATTACTATGTTGTTGTTATTAATATTATTATTATTATTTTGTGATTATTAGTGTTAAGTACAAACATTCAAATATATTAAGTAAGCACTAGTTAAGATTTCCTATGTAATTATTAATTATTAATATTATTATTATTATTATTATTATTATTAATTATTATTATTATTATTATTATTATTTTATCATTGTGATTATTATTATTATTTTGTGATTATTAGTATTGTTATTTGAAGTTTTGTGATTATTAGCGTTAAGTACAAACATTCAAATATATTAATAAGCACTAGTTAAGATTTCCTATGTAATTATTAATTATTATCATTATTAATTATTATTATTATTATTATTTTGTGATTATTAGTATTATTATTTGAAAACTTAATATATTATTATGTTTATTCATTATATATTTTTTTATTGTTTTTCATTAACTATAATTTAAAGTTTTGAATATAATCTGTTATGTGCATGATGTAAGGAGATAAAAATATTTGTTAGTCAAATAATTGCGAAATATGTTTTCAAAAAAATTATGTACTTGAGTGTCAATTTTAGTAGACCTTAGCGAATAAATACAAAATAAAACGTTGACCAATTGAAAAACAAAGTAAAGCATCATACATTTGAGAATGGATTACTTGTTAGATTATGTATTGAGTCTGGTATTTAGACAGTTAGATAAATGCAGATCTAGTATTTCCCAATCAATCTGATTTTAATAACTTTGATTTATTGAAACACGGCAGTAGTTAATAACGTATGGTGTGATGTTTATGGTTAATGTTGCAATAATACGCAAAACCGCCACAATAATTTCAAGTGATTTCACACTTCGGAATGAAAGTCTGATTAGTAAATGTTCATGAATGATATGAATCGCTTCTCGTTCACATCACCGTGTTGGATTCTGTTGCGTGATACCTCGTGCCATTTCACGCAGGTCTAGTACTGTATCCTTAAAAGCTTTCATTTATTAAAGAGCAGGAAGAGTTACATGACAAAATCTACATTTTTTAGTTTTAACTCACTTGAATGTTGTGTTTTTTCGAAAGTTGGTAAATCGAGAGGTCATTGTTGTTCTGTATGTTATCAAAGATGAATGAAAGTCAAAAGCCTATAACAAATCAGTACAAAATAACATAGCACATATGATGGGGATAACAATAGTCAACATGTGTGTGTAAATGTGGTACAGTATATATATTGAAAGTAAATGATAATTGTAGAAATTAATGTTCTTGAATAAAATTAGGAAAAGTAATATGTGATGACAAAGATAATAATAATGATGAATATAATAATGGATGTTGATGATGGAAACAATGAGGATGATAGTTATTATTAATATGATGATTATAAGGATGATGGTGAGATATGATTAATATTATGATGATGTCTTGGATGATGATGCAGATGATGATGATAAAGATGATTATGATGGTTAGGATGATGGTGATAAATATGATGATGATGATGTTTACTATGATCATGCCTAGGTTAATGGTGATGGATTACTATGATAATGTCTATAATAATTGTAATAAGATGATGATAATATAATGATGATGGTTATTATGATTGATTGAATATTATATCTATTCAAAATAAGGTTTATTGAACATCAACAACCCAGGTAGATTAATAAATTTATATGACATTTTTAATGTTAAAATACAGTAAATTTACTAATGCATATCATATAAAAAAAAAACTTTTGGTTGTGATTTTGAATTAAAGGAAAGAAAAATTAATTGAAATGGTAATCTACATTATAGTGTCAGAGATCATGTGATTTATCACACTGTATTGAGAAAAATAACCAATTGAATCGATTCTTAATGGATTCTTTTCCCATTCAAAGATAACACGTCTAAGTGTGAGATATTTTACGTCGTCTGTAGCATTCTAATCCGTGATCGTAGGTATCTCAAGTGGCGATTTTGTTAGGACACCTGCTGGGAAATACACATAGACAAGTATGCTGTATGCCTAGTAAATGCGAGTTCTCAACGATGATTGCAGTGAAGCATTTTGTGCTATGCACTAACTATGATTACAGACAATCATTTTTAATCACCTTCCTGTACCAATATGCAACCTATATTCTTTTAAAGATTATCCATAATTCATCATTACAATTTAAAGGCATTTAGTTTGTGATTTATCACAAAAACAAAGAGGAATACTTATTTATATGAAAATTGGCTATGTTTTTTAATAATAAATATGCATTTTTTTTTCTCTTCATGGTTTATGAATTCTTAGATGAGCAAGCAAGGTACAGTAAATAAATTAAATTTGTGAGAATACTCAATTTAATTACTGTACTAATTATTCATAATAAATATTCATAGACACTAACAGATTGTGACTAACTTTAGGTAACATTTATTCAATAGCTTTAGCTTGTGTAACCTATTGTTTTGTCTCTTACTTATAAGTAAATTGCACTTCATATCTGCCATTCATTTTGTCATAACACAATGTCTCCATTCCATATTTAGACAAAGTACAGTATAATAATTTTAATTTTATTCTAAAAACTGGATATTTTTCTAAGAAAATCCTGACAAGGTAGAGAAAATCTTTTTCCATTCTTCTAAGTAATAACTCCAAAATGTTTAAATGACATATATAAAACTGTTGTTCTAAGAGCCTGATTCTAACTAAAACACAGTGTACCAAAAGTTGACAATTATTAATCATAATAAGTTGCAATATGAACTTACAATCATCTAATCATAACATGTTTATTGATATTTCAAAATTTAAATTTCATTTTATTACAACAATTTTATTTCATTATTTTAGGTTGTTACAATAACAGACCTGCCAACTCATCCAATCCTGCCAGGTGTCACCCGATTTAAACAAATTAGAGATTTGTTCTCCTGATCAAATGTAATTTTCACCTGATTTCACTAATTTTGCAGGTCCCCCGGAAAATACTCCGATTTATGCATAAATTTGATTTACATGATCATTATTATTCACCGTTATTATTCACCGGATAAACAAGCAGCCATTTTTTATTTTAATGTCTCCACCAGTGGCCAACTTCGCGGGCATGCAACTAATTCTTGACGCCTCTTTTTACTATCTTGCATCATCTTTTGGTTAATTCTGAAAACTTCCAGATTTTTTAAGATAAAAAAAAAAAAAAACAGGGGGTTGGCAGGTCTGTCACAATCAACAACAGAGTTTGTATCTACAATGCCACCATCTTTTGCAATCATTTTCCTGTTAATCCTTACTATTATTGTCATCTCAAAACTGATTTTTTTTTTTTTCAAATATTATTATTTTTCTCTTGTCTGTCAGTGCAGGAAGGAAGTAAGCAACTCACATTTGACTCAGCAGTCACCTGTTTTTCCCGCCGTTTTTTGTTCACCTAAGTCGTGTACTTTGTGTTATACAAGTCATTGTCTATTTCCATTGTCAAAAAAAATTATGTTTTTCTTTCTAGTTACAACACAAATTTATGAACATTAAGACCTCTTAAGAGTTGCTCTAGTCTTAGTATGTTTTACCCAACATCAAAAGCTTTAGTCAGTCTTTGTTTATTTTTTCGGCAATTACCAATACATTACCTTACCTTAGTAGAGTAAAAAGACTATTAGTAACATGTTTACAACAGAAACATCCCATCTTGTCTGTTTGTATCATCAAATTGATGTATTTTACACAACAAAGAACTTAAAGTTATATAACGATATTATGATTCTTATCTTCATGATTGAACAATTATTCTTATTATTACTATTGCTGTATCATAATGTTTGTATTATGCCTATCATAGGAATGATAAGTATTTTATGTTTATGCAATAAAACATTTGAATATTATTCATTATCATATAATATATATACAATTACCATTAGGGTGGGGGTGGGAGGGTTGTGTGTGGAGCAGAAATGCCAGTCAGTAGGCCTCTTCAATCCTATAATGCTCCTCTGTACTTAATCTATAGATACAATCCATTATATTTATTCAAACAAATATGGGTAGTAATCATTATACCTCATACAAAATACAGTTTACATTCACTTATTAAGTTCTATTAAATGTTTATAAATTGCTTGTTCAACTATGCAGAATTGTTAGACAAACAATGTAATGGTAGAAAGACAAAATATACCTGTATATATAACGTATAAAACAACAATGATTATACTGATTACTGTGTATTACAATTTATGTTTCATTATTTATTGGACACTTCAGTTTGCCTAAAATGTTTCAAGCTTCCGTCAACATTTTCTACACAGTTTTCTCAGTTGTAGCAACAAATAATTTATGAATATACTTACAATCATTTGACTCATTAATTAGCAGAGACGTTAATTAATGCTGTTGGTAATCATCTCGTTAATTTCATCAAATCAAAGTAGATCACTACCATGGCAACGATCCACTTGGCTGCATCGGTCTTCTCTGATCGATTTTTCTTATTCTTTCCAGAGGGAATTTCGACAAGGGAGTTGTAATAATTGGATTTAAACCCTACAATGGGCAGACTAATTACATTGGCTAATTATCTCAAGCGCTGTATTTATTTGCTACACTTTCTATCGATTCTCCATGAAGATTGCTTCAAATAAACCGTAGAATCTATTGTGTATATTGATGTTCCCTTAAATATGTTCTTTTTTTTTCTTGTTTTTATTTATACTTTTAACCATTTATTTTCTGATCAATAAAGGTTATGTTAAAATGAGGCTTTATTTACATTGTAAAATATTCACATAAATAATAATGTTATAAGGGGTACAACACACATCAGCCAGATATCGCTATAATTCAGATACTTCACATTTATGCTTTTGATAATGTTGATAATGATGATGATGATAATTATGGTGATGATAATATTGATGATAATGAAGAAGATGATGGTAATGATAATGGTGATGATAATGATGATGATGGTAATGTTGATGACAATGAAGGTGATGATAATGCAAATGAAGATGATGGTGATAAATGCAAATGATGATGATAATAATAATGATAATGATGATGATGATGTATAATGATAGTGATGATGATACTGATAAAAAAAAAAGCAGTTCATAATAATCAATTTTGTATTATGTATATATACTTAAAGTAATAGCTATGATTTTCCAAAAGGTGTTTACTGCCAATGTATATTAATAAATAAATCACTAGAGAAGATGCTGTTTTTCTGGGGTTTGCTCTAATGCATCAAGTATTTCATTAAAAGAACGGTACATCAAATATAAAACATCTTAGATATTGAGACACAAGTCAAATAAAATGAAACACTAATAAAGACATGAAGCGCTTAACCTTAATCGTCAACTCAAGTGTGATGTCCTTGAAACTTAATGTGATTTGAGGCAATACCTGAAAGCGGCTAATAAAGCAATTTGATTGGATCGTCTCATGACGCAAATCCCACAGCAAATGTGATGTCACAATGCATTAAAAAATAAAATTTCCCCAAAATTAGAAATAAATAATAAAGAAATCGTGTTCATGAAGCTTCTTTTCTCTGTCAATTGATACAGTTATCAGCAGATGCTGATGGACTCCAAGACTATGTTTTGTATAAAGAATGAGAAATGTATATATATTTGCTTACCTTCTTACAGTTTCTGTCTCCTAACTGTGGAATTTGAGGCATCATTGTGACTGCAACTTCAGGCTGGCTGGCATGTTGCATCTTTGCCTATGAAAGATTGGAATGAAATTCTTTTAATTAATCAGTTACTCTTAAAATGTGGGCCATTTTTAAATTCCATCGCATACGGATGATTATTCTTTGGAATGGTTAATGGTAGAGAAACAGTACTGTGACATTAACAATGATCATAAAGCAATGAAACAATGGCATTTTGAACGATTTGGATGAGAAAAAGCAGACAACAGTCTGGTAACCCTCGTGATTTCTATCTCTTCTTCAATTACCTTTCTTTATATGACCCCTTCCTTTGTTATATCAATTTCTGGGGTAATTAATCATTCAGAATACAATCCTAATTATGTATTGTTTAATTTCTAAATTAATTTGTAGGCCTATCCTATCTTGATCTTCAACTAGGATTATTATTTCATTATAAAAAATGAAAATTGATTTTAAAATCCTCTGACAAGATCATAATTTATATGAATTTAGTTATCAATTTTATGTATATATAAATATATAATTGTTGGCAACTATAGGCCTACATGCTTAAAATAATATTTTAAAATAACATCATAAATGTTTTTGTTTTTTGCTTCATATTTTATGAGTGTGATGAACATAGCAGAATATGTGTGATCATTTTGCTCTATAATTGTCTTTGTGAGGCTTAGAGAGTGCAATTGTTTGTCATTGTTAACCTCAACATTGGATTGAACTTGTATCCATCAGTTAGCCCCATTTTACTTTTGTAAAGTCATAAAACCACATATACATCTGCAGGTGTGGGAACTGGAGATGTTTGTAGTACCTCAATCCCGACCTGGGGACTAACAATTGTATACATTTGTACTCTCCATTTTACTTCCATTAACTCATAAAACCATATAAATCTACACATAAAAAATGAGATTAGAAGAACTAAAACCTAAAAAAGTAGTGGTAAGGGAAGCTGCACCTAATTTAAAGAACCATCTCCCGTAAGACATATGTCATTCTGAATTTCTTGAGCGATTCATTGTATGTGTCATTTATAGACTTCAAAAACATCATGATCCCCAGTGATGCATTAATTGTAAGGATGCTAAAATATATACAAATGCTCAAATTACTTTCACATAGAAGAAAAAAAATATAAAACTTCAGAAAGATATAAATCTTAATTTGGTTAAAATTAGTAAGTGGTGGCATTTTAGTTAAAGAAAATATAACTTCATTTCAAAAACTTTGAACCTAGGACACCAGGATTGGAAATCAAGTAACTTAACAACCAGACCACAGAGCTACAATTCTGTGCACTCCAGTTAATAAATCTATTTAGATGTTTTGTTCTCAATGAGTCAAAATGAATTTCCAATGCAAGAAAATGGCTTATCATGATTGTTTTTTGACTTAACAAATCATTTTAAAAAAAAATCGTTGAGGTTAAGGAAAGAAAACAGAGCCAGGGAGTCTGGCAGGGAAGATTTGTATCCAGTACTCAATTTCCTGCACTATAACCAAATTCTGATTTCTTCGTTGGCCCATCTTCCAACTCACAATGCATCATCTAATATGTATTACATGTGGATCAATGATATTTATCATTTCATAATTAGTATTGGAATCTGTGTCATAGAGGAAGTCTGTAAGAGTCATGTGATATTATTTGAGCACTAATTATTATTATTGTTGTGTGTATATATATATATATATATGCATATATGCATATATATAAATATATACATATATACATATATAAATATATACATGCGAGTGTGAGAACAAGGTGCCCCAACCGGTATTTGAACCAGGAAACTTCTGGGCCATTGAGGCTTTGCTGGGAATTCAAATCCAATTTAAACAACTAAAGCTTCGCACTCTTGTGCAAGTGTAGTTAGACAGCACTTGACGAGCCACATAGCTTGTATTCCACTATTTGCATTCACACCTGGGCTGTGTATATATATTGCCTTGGTTTGGCTCTGTAATCATTAGTGGTCGTGGGACTAGTTTGGGACCTACCTAGGCTGGTCGAACGTTTCGTTTGGGTCTATACCCTAGCTGCACTGATGAGGCCTGGAAGGCCGAAACGGATCCGTCTGCAGATATTGGG